GTTTCAAATGCCTAACAGACCCATCATAACCCTGCCTGACTCTTTAGAAAGAGGTTTTAAATTCCTTTGATTGATGAAGACAGTTCAATCGCGCATGTGTTTAGTAGTCAGCAGTTAGGAAGTAACCTAAAATCAGTTTCACTGAGATAGCTTTAACAATACATCAATTTCAAATTTCTTCACTGTTTATAACAATTTCAAAGAATTTGACTTGATCATGTACAATTACCTAAGCAAGAACGCATGAAAGGATGTTATATAGTATTTATAAGTAGTATTTATAAACAGTATTTCTATGTTATGTTAAAATTTCGATATTTTACATAATCCCTGATGTGCGTCATATGTTATAATGAAATAAATCGATTTTCGAAAAATGGAATTGGGAATTCTCTAGATTTAAATGTTTAAAAAAGTTGTTGGGCAATTCCTTTTCTAAGGAAATAAAAATCATAATTGTGCCCTTTTTCGTGAATATAAATAAAATTCCTTTGGTGTCAAGAAATTTCGCGCGTAGTTATATATTTAAATAACTTTTTTTTGCAAAATAACATAATTATTTTCATACGTCATATGTGAAACAAACCCCTAATATCATCAAATAAAAATGTCTGTTCAGTCTCAAACATCCATCCTGTATTGAAAAATAGTTTTCAAGAAAAATTTACCTTCTTAGTTTCCATCAACAATTCTTTTTTTTGTAATATTTACTTTTAAAAATATTAATTATATATTTATTGCTGATAATAGTATTTCGTAGGATTAATGCCATAAAAGAATTTTATAGCATTAAAAATTCCTCTGAGAATTTGTTTTATTATTTCAGCTTTCAGAATGCAACCAATCAACTTGGCTTTTGTTTAAATTATATCTAAGCCTTACTTAACATCATAAATAATGTCGTGACCAGAAGCTTCTTGCATAATGAACTTTGTGTTTTAACAGCAGTTCTTTACTCTGTTCATGAATAAATCTTTCCACCTCATAGAAATATTAATCCTTTTCAGGTTATAAAAATCACGTTAAAAATGTGTGTAGGTTTTTATAAAAGTTTCGAAAAAGTATACTGATATTGCAGTAAAAACTTAACTGAAAGGTACATTTATTATTTGGTTATATGTTAGCATACCTGCTTTCTTTGGTGCTAAAAACAACATACAAAATTAAATGTACTGAATTTGTTTACAAAATTTTGACAATTTGGTTAAAAAAATTTTACTATCGCAAATTTTTTTTGCACAGCTCAACAAATGACAAAAATAATATATTGACGAATAAGTCGAGCTCTTTTAACCAAAATATATTTAATGTAATTTTTTTTTACCTCAATTAAGGAGCCTAGGTTTCAGAGGAGTATCTTTGCACTCAATTTTTGGTTAATTTTAAGACAAATGATTTGGAAAAGTTTAAGTAAATGAAATTATTGCGATCAGATGTTACAAAATTTAAAGATTACGTTATAAAATGCTACTGCTTTAGAAGCAGAAAGTATTTAAAGTAAAGAATCGGCTCTAATAAACTTCCAGGAATTTTTAAGAGATTGATACAAGCAAATTGTGAAAACATCAGTAACGTCTCGAAAGAATATATCACAATTCCTCTCAGAAAAATGAGCATAGCGCAAAAAAAGTTCATAAAATTTTTCATAAACTGCTTTAATTTAATTAGTTTGTTATTATACAGCTGTTTTTTCCTTACTTTTTGTCTAAATATTAAAAACAAATAGATATTAAAAACAAAAGCCATTCTGATAGATAAATAAGCACTTATAATTGATCATTTCTGCTTAAACTAGAGAAGAAAAAAATTGCCATAACTTAAATAGAGCTCATTTTTTTAATTTCAAAGAATAAATTTTTAGTTAGAAATGTGTATGAATTTAAAGGTAAAGTCAGTCACTTAAAAATTATGAAATCAAACTTAAATATGTCTTAATTTGATTTGATATTAAAATAAAGTTGCATTAGATTAAAGTTGCACAACTTAAAGTAGATGATAAACTAAATTACAAATTTAAACACATAAAAAAANGTGTCCCACACTTATTGATTTTATTACCCGAGAAGTCACAAGCAATATCTTCAGGAATCACTCTTTGGAAGAAATAAAAGCCTTTCATCAAGGTTTGTTTGTGACATTAAGGTCAATCTTCCGGAAAAAGTGAAATAAAACCACGACATCTCAAGAGATTCTTTTTAAAGATACAAGGCTTAAAGAAAAAGAAAAATGGAATTCAAAGTCTTCTTTTTCTTTCTTTTGATAAAGTCCCTTTTTTTAAAAGTACTTTTTATATATATTTTGATATTTTAAAAAAACATTTAAAAAAAATTATAAGCTGAAGAAGTAAAAATAAATTGATTTTACTGCAAACATGAACTTTGATTTTTCTATGTTGATGGTCACCATCTTACATCCTATATATATATATATATATACTGAGAGAGAGAGAGAGAACTGTAAATACATTTTTTCGAGGATCAGAACAATCAAAATCCAATGAATTATTACTGAGAAAAAGATTAAAACTATCGAAATGTCGGAGGACAAAGAGAAGAGTTAAAAAATTTCTTTAGAAATACTTTCAAGCAACCATAAAATTAGTCTTTGGGTTTTCCATCCCACTTTCTTTTGTAGCTGATGATATTATAATTTCAATTCTATAGCATTTTTAATTTTCTCAAACTTAAGTATGTACTAGATTCTAGAAAGAATGGTCATTGCATTAAGGAAAAAAAGAATGGGTAAAGCTACCAGAATGTGATAAAATTTATCCAATTTTCTGGCTCTGTTGGAACACTAAAATGCACAGTTTTATTATCGAGCTCTTTGGTAATGTCCATAATTTTTACAGTAGTAGTATAATTTGAGACAACGCAAAACTGTTCAGTTTTATAACCTCTATTTCATTTCGTAAACAATCATAAACTTTGTTTACCGTCAGTTTGTTTCATTTCTAAATAACCTATAAATTAACATCATCAAACTTATAAACCTTGAGAAATATGTATTTGTAAATATAAAAATACCTAGGCAAGGCTAAACTAAATCACTAACTTAACTGTTACTCGTAAGTCTATCCAAATATCCTAAAATGAATACAGGAGGTAGCTGGTGCGAATCCCTCCAGAACCCTAGAAGTATCTATTTATTTATACTTATTTATGTATTGTTAAACATACACATGCAGGTTTGTGTGTTCAATACAAAGTTTGGCTTATAAGCTCTTGTCAAGATGAAGAACATGTAAGTTAAAGAAGGACATCACAAATATATATCCATGTAGACGGTGGGATTCGAACCCAGTATTATCACACTACCATAGATGAATCGATATAATGCCTTTCACTAACTAGAGTATCCGTTCCACAACTTCAAAAGGCACTTTAATCGATGTTTTGCAAGGAGAAACAATTTATAAATAAATGCTGGGATAGTAATATTTATTTTTTAATTATTCGTTCTACAGGGCATACCCGGCCAAACAGTCTCGTGTTTCAAATGCCTAACAGACCCTTCTCATTTTTGAAATTTTAAAGCGAATTTTACCCCAATGATATTTAAAATTTAATTTTGTTAAGGTGCAATATATATGTTGCTACCAAAGATCACGTTTTTTAAATAATCTGTAATTTTTTAAAACGTAAGTGCTAAATTAATTAAAACGTAAATACAATATTACAAAATTATAATACAAAAGTTCTTTAATATTTTTGTGTTTTATAGTTTTTATGCACTTAAAGTGGCAGACAAGTATATAACAAACAAAATACATACAAATTTCTAAGAGAAACAATGGAAAATCATTGCATAAAAACGTGATATAAGTTACGCTGTAAAATATCTTTGCCTAAAAAAATTTTATTATTAATATGATACTTTATTATTTTAATAGAACTCTTGCTCCTGACAAGCACATTTTATTATTATGTAAGAGAGCAAATTGTTGCTTGGAGAAATATTTTTTAGTTTTATATGTCGAATACGTTGACTCAATTTATTTAGAAATTTTATAGAAACATATTATATATTTGACTAATTACATTATACATTTGATTAATTACAAAAAATGCATATAACTTGTGAGAATTTTTGTGAATAAATACTGTAGTGTATTTAAGTAAAATGGTGTTGTGCCTTGGACAATAGTCATTATCTTCTGAATTTGTTACTCGAAGGAAGTTAAATATTCACGTAATTAAAACTTGTTTTGAATGAAGTCAACGGGAAAATATAACGGTACTAACTTGTGGTCTTACTTATATTTTTGACAGGATCAAGGTGCGAGAGCGCGTTTCTTATTAAATTAAACTTTACAATAAGGAGTTATTTTACTTAAGCTTGTTGTACCGTCTAAGATACAACAAGCTTGTTATATCTAAATTAAGTTGGTTATATCTAAAATAATGGAATTTTTCTTTAAAAAAATTGGTATAGAATGGAATTTCGTTATTTATTTACATTAATTCTTTTTTCAATTTACTTCAGGGATTCATTTTTGAAACAAATCAATTTAGAAACTTATTCTGTAACCGTAAAATAACAAAGGGCGAAACCTGGAGTGGTCAAGTATTATTTGTTGTGATCAAGAACATATGGTACATAGCAACATATGGTACTTATCAACATATTGTACTTGTGTTAGAACACATCAATAAAACTCTTTTTCAAAGGCATCAACTATATACTGCGCTAAGATTTTCACTGGTTCGATGTACCGCAGGGCAAGATGCAACTCTCCCACATTATCCTTTCTTATACATGAATTTTTAAGAAAATTCATTTCCCTTTTTTTATTTCTAGAAATAGCTATAAAAGATATTAAATATGATTTTGACATCAAGGATTTATGCTTAAATAGTTAATCCAATAGGCCAAAGAAAAAACTAAAAAACAAAGAGGAAACAGAAATCTACAGATTTTATCTAGCAGTTGAGTTTCTTCTTCGAAATCTGGTCCCAGTGGCTCATTTTGCGAAGCATTATTTGCGCTTAACTGTTTCTTTTTAACTTCCGCTTTCTTTGTAAGTGTTTGGGGTGATACTACACTGTTTGATCTTATATCACTCCAAGCAGTAGCAACATGACGTTTCCTGTCTTGAATCTAAAATCAAAATCATTGCAGACTTAAAGAAATGCATTCCAGTCAGATACAAAATCATTACATTAAGACATGTTGCACATCATAAATATTAGCACACGTTATACGAATCTGCAATCTATCAAGGACATGATTAGGTGAATCTCAACAGATCGTTCCAGATATGTTTCGCACATGCTTAACAAATCTGAAGAAAATTAAAGCTTATATTTAATTCTTCTCTGCGTAATATTCGAAATTAAATAATATTTATTTACTTCAAAATTTATTTTGTTAACTATTTTAAAATTTATTTTGTAAGTTAAAAAAATAAAATAGGAAATAAATTAAACATGAATGTAAACTAATTAACATTTTACTATATTTTTATCAAATAGCATTCTTATTTATGAGGTCACTTAAAATCTTTGTCAGTTATTGTATCACTTTCATTGTAGTGAGTTTTTCTTTAATGACTGTGCATTATTAAAGAAAAACCTTTCATGCCAGATTAATTAGCTCAATTATATTCATTTCTAATTCCCTTAATGCCCCCAAAGACAAGACGCAGAATATTGGTTACAAGTAAGAATAACAGATCAAATTCTGTTTCAATTAAATAATTTATATTAACTTCCAAGAACAAAATGTTACTTGTTTGCATCTAATGCAGGTGAAACCTACAAGACAAGGAAATATGGCCTAGTCTAAATACGAGTAAAAAAAAAGTGTGAAGCTCGAAAGCCAGAGTGCAGAATATTCCCTGCAGTTATCCAAGGTAAAGAAAGCTATCACCTCAGGAAAAAGTCAAAACGAATTTATCTCAGTAAAAACTTAAATATATTACTAAACACTGCTAGGTGTACAGTGCACAAAGTGAAAAACGGACCAAACTGAATAACTTTTGATTTAATGATCGGATCTTCTCATTTTAAGACTCATTCTTAATGGTTTGAAGGGGTGACCTCAAATTTGCTAATTAATTAGTGCAAACGATTTTTTGAGATACGAAATCAGGCCCATAAACGTACTTTCTCTGAATAAACATAAATTTTTTTCAGCGGATTCGGATTGCTGACCCCAAAATATAGGGTGTAGCAGCAATCTGGGAAATATGCAGGAGAGCGGCCCAAAGTTTCGTCATCTTAATATTAATTTTATTTTTTACGTATTTCGCTATATCTCGAGAACTTTTTAGGCGAATAGAAACATTTTTGTACACAAGTATAAAATTCATTTATCCAAAAAATATATTTTTTATTATTTTATTTAATATTAGTCGAAAAAGTTTTAAATCAGAAAGTATACAATTTTTGCATTATTTTAAAGAATATAACTTTACACAGCAAGATTCAAAAGCTAAGTGAAATCGGTCGAATAGTTTCTGAGAAATTGAATTTCAAAAAAGTTGTATTTTAAAAATTCGATTTCTCAGGAACAATTTGACCGATTTCGCTAAAATTTTGTATTTCGCCATGTAAAATTATATTCTTTAAAATGATGTAAAAAATTTCAGACCTCACTGTTTGAAATTTGTTTGACTAATATTAAATAAAATAATAAAAAATACAACTATTTATTATAAGCTACTTTTTGCATGGAATTATCTTTGGAAAAATAAGATTTACAATTGTGTGGAAAAAATTCTCAATTTACTTAAACTTTCTTCGAGATATAACAAAATATGCAAGAAGTAAAATTAACATTGTGGGATCTAAACTTTGGACCACTCTCTTGATCAAACTATTGAGACCATATATATCCTAGAGTGCAGTTACCCCTATATCTTGGAGATTAAAAATACGAATCGGTTGAAAAAAAGGCATGTTTATTCGGAAAAAGTATGTTTTTGTGCTTGAATTTTAGCATATTATTAGCATATTTTTGGTCATCCTCTTGAACCATTAAGAATGAGTCCTAGAATGTGAAGATCTAATCATTAGATCAAAAGTTATTAAGGGTGGTTTAATTTTATTTTGCTCAATGTACTACAGTGAAGCCTAATGAGACGATAGCCTAGAAAAAATTCAAAATACCTTTATAATAGAAAAATTTCGGAATTTAATATTGAGTTTCATTCCATCACATCTGATATGCATTGTTAACTTGTTATTGAAAAAAAATTAAGGCAATAAACAAATCTTCTTCTTATACACAAATTAAGGTGGAGTATATTATACACAAAACAATTTACTAACTTATTTTTAATAATTTTTATAAGATTCTCCAAAGAGATGTCTATGATGACGTTTTGATAATCAGCAGATCCAGGACCTGCAAAAATCTCCTATTCAGAAAGCACACAAATGCCAGTTTGATTTTTATCCCTTGCATTTGTTAAAGTGTCTGAGTCAAAACCAACTTTTTGTGTCGGATCAGAAGAAAAAGTTCTTTGGTACTGTTCCATCACTTACGGAATTCGCAGCTAAATGCCAAGATGACGAAAGCTATAAAGCTTTTTTATGGTCTTTGAGGATCTCAGAACTAAAATAATTTTATTTGTGACACTGAAATTAGAATTTGATTTTTAAGCAGTACAAAGTGAAAAGATGAGATCAGTGAACAAAAAAAAAGGACATGCTTAATCATTCTTATAACAAATTTCCACGTACTTGCACTCAATCTCAATGTTTCAAGATCCTAACCTAAAATTTGTTTGTTAATTATTATTCCTATAATTTCAGTATTATTTAATTTTTGTTTTTGATTTAGGTTTTGATTAACACATTTTTGTTATTGATTAGTTCTGATGTCTTTAGACTTAAGCAGACTTAAGCAGGCAGACTTGTGGAGCTAGAGGGTAGCGAGAGACACATAAAAGGTGAATTCCTATACGTTTGTATTAGGATGCGCAGAAGTGATGTATGTATGCTAATGCAAACATATGCAAATTTTCCCTCAGTACGCCTATCAATTTCCGCTCTCTTCCTTAGCGTTTTAAATTTTTCCTTTTTCTAGTGCTTTAAACAATAAAGTCAGCAAAAAGTATTTTTATCAAGAATAGTGTATTTAGAAAAACATAAACTATTCTTGATAATAGTGCGCTTTTAATTGTTAATTTTCATACTTGACATCTTTATAACAGGTGCTAAAAATAGTTTTTAAGTATAAATTTTCTGTTTAAATACAGATTAATATAACACTTTATTTTTATTTTAAAGCCAGTTAAGAACAAATCAAGAATCGATTTTCATGCATATTATATACATAGTCTCTGTAACAATACATGAATGCATCTAAATATGAATGTATTTAGGTTTTCTTTTCATAAACATCGATCATTTAAACATGATAATCATTATATGAATCCATCGTATGTATGACATGCATTATTAATAAACAAATTAGATAAATAAGAAAAAATTCGCATGTGGTAATTTCTAGAAATATTTTACCTTTTTACTGTAAAGACTATATACGATAGAATATTCTAGAAGTGATAAAAACACAAGCATCATGCAGGCAAACAACCAAATATCCAAAGCAGTCAGGTAATTGATTGGTGGTAAATGAGAACGAGCTTGTGATGCTTGGGTAGATAGAGTTAGAAGAGATGTGAGTCCCAGAGCCACCCTGGCTGGAACTGATCGAACATTGAGCCAAAAAGAAAGGAAAGAGAGAACCACAATCAGTCCACTCGGAAGATACACATTAAATATGTGACTACTCAAGTAACGCACGAACCTGAATTTTGCTCCCAGACCACTGTAAGTAGCTGAAATAAGAACAAAAGTCAATAACAATTTGTTATAAATGCTATTATACTATATCAATAAAAAGCGCATTTTAAGCACACATTAGTATTTTGCAAGATGTATAATTCTTTTATAATTTGATACTGATTTGCTTTTATGATTTGTGTGATTTTATAATTTGAAAATGACTTTTTTTAAGGATTTTCTTCGTTTTATAATTTACGGATAACATGTGGAACTTCAGATTGGAAGAATTAAATTAATTACTTAGTTTTCAATCTCATTTCATTGATATTACAGATAAGCAATATTCTATATCCAATTTTTTAAAAAAAAATAGAGAAGAGGAAGTTTTGAAGTTTGCAGAAAATTTAATAATAGAGTTATAAATTAGATTTATCACGTTTGAGGAAGGAGGTGGACGTTGATTATTTATGTTTTTGATAGTTATGATTTTATTTATATTGATATTTATGTTTTTATTTAGCAATTTTAATTTTATTGCATTTAAGCATAACTTAAGAACAATAAACAGGTCCTGGGTTCGATCCTTGGGCCGGGCAAGGTTGACTCAGCCTTTCATCCCTTCAGTGGGTCGATAAATGAGTACCAAGTATGCTTGGGAACTAAACACTGGGGGTTGGTTCCGCATTCGACTGACAACCTGACCGGAACATTTGCTCCTGCACCTCAGAGACCAAGATCAAGAAAACTGAGTTAAGCACAATAGGCCTTGGCCCTCTGTGGGCTGTTGCGTCAGTGAGTTTAGTTTTTTTTTTAAGAACAATAAAGCAAATACGTGCGCCGAATTAGCGTGGCTTTAGGTGAGGTCTCTCAGCTCCCAGTTAACCTCTCGTCTATAGAACGTGTAACAAACCCGGGAGGCACCTTTCTAAATCAGACATCATTTTACACTCTTAACCACAATCAAATTTCGCCAATTAACAAAAGCGCCCATCTTTCACTTCTACTACTGCAACCCCATTTTTTGCTAAACGTGATTCTTTTCTTTAACCTTGATAGTCTTCCTAAGTTTTGATTTTAATTTGTTGAAAAAAATGAGAGACGCAAAAAAATAATTATTAATAAAAATCACAATGGGAAAAGTGACTCAGACAGTTCCCACACCTTCATTAAACAAGATATTTGATCGGTTAAAACAAAAAGAGCTTGTATTTGAAATTATTTAACTGCAGCTATACAGACAGCGTAGCGTTTCTTAAGGGACTTATTCTACTTAGAAATGATTAGAATGAATTTCTTTTCTTTTTTAAATCGTGTATCATGGAACTAGAATGTTTAACTTTTAGTATACAGTGCCATAACGGGTCGGGAAAATGAGCATCTGTCCAAGACTCTGTAACGTTTCACGCTGGTGATATTCAAATAATAATAATAATTAAATAATGTTAATTTTTTAGAATTACGGAGTATTTTTTTTTTTTTTTTTTTTTATTTTNATGAATTGGGAAAGAAGGCAATAGTATCCTCATATCTAGGGAAAAAACTTTATAAATTAAAATTAGATAATTAGAAAATAAGAAGCATTTAAAAAATTTTAGATCGGAGCCCTTATATGCAAAATTTTTTTAATCGACACAAATGTTTTGTATATGTTACGGTAAAGCACCGAAATCTGGAGAATGTCGACATTCACCGGTGAATGTCAACATTCACGTAGTCGCTTGGTGTATGTCCGAAATATTTGCTAAATTCCCTTATTTCTGACTCTCACCGGTGAATGTCAACAATCACATAGTCGCTTTGGTGAATGTCCAAAATATTTGTTATATCCAATTTTATATTAATTTATTCGTTAATATTATTATATTTATTTGATATATTTATATTTATTCTATATTTTAATACTTACTGACGATAGATTAGAAGAAACATCAGTGTTTGGAGTATCGGGCAAATATATACCGAGCAATGGCACTTGACCTTAAAAAAGCATCAGTGTAGGGGTATACCGGGCAAATGTATAACNCATCAGTGTAGGGTATACCGGGCAGTGACACTTAACCTTAAAAAAAACATCAGTGTAGGGTATACCGGGCAGTGGCACTTAACTTTAAAAAAACATCAGTGTAGGGTTAAAACATCAAATAAATGTAATTATATCCACGAATAAATTCATATCAAATCGAATGTAATAAATATTTCGGATATTCACCAAAGCATATCTGTGATTGTCGGCATACACCGGTGTGGATCCGAATGTACAAGAATGCAACGAAATATTCGATCTTTCACGGACGTATTTGGTGTTTGTCGACATTCACCGGTGAAAGTCAACAACCACCAATTTCGTTCTTTCGCCGTGACATACATAAAACATGAAAATTACATTATAGTTGACAGAATTTGAAAGGCAGAAAAAAAGTTAAAAAATTAAATTCGAGAAATTTAAAAGAAAAAAAAATAAAGTGCGCTTTCTTTAAAATTAAAGCTCTTATTGATCTGATTTAGAAAGGCTCTCACGGAAGAAGTACACCATAGTAAATAAAATGAAAATAATTTACTGTTCCTTGGGCCCGAGGGTTGGGGCACATTGTTAGAGTATCGCAACGTTTTTCTTGTATTTTGATCTGGTTCTGTTTTCTTTTCCTTCTTTATTATATAAAAATTGTAGAAAAAATATGTAGTTTGAACTACTGATATGTAGTTTGTACTGAAGTAAAAAAAAACTCAAAAGCTTTATAATTTCGATACTATTTTTTAATGACTAATGTAAGTAAAATGAAAAATTTTTTGTGTTATAAAATGTGGGAAAGAAATAATCTAGTAAGAAATATACCCAATGGCCATACTAGCTTTCTTGTAGTAGGTTCTGCGCTAATAATACAATATTTCAAAGGTTGTATTTTTGCAATATACATGTTTGAAACTCCTGCATTTTCTTCTTCTCTTTCTTCAATCCATTTGAATATAAGATGTTTATTACTATTCGCTACTGAAAAAAAATCGCAAATCTATAAAAAAAAAAGTGCAATACATTTTTCTGTAAAATACAATACCGAAAAATACAATCATATGAAATTATATAAAATCTGATAATTTTCTGTATAAACGTGATTTATGATCACTTTTAAATAATAATCACTTTCAGTCAAACTGTTTTGGCTCAATTTAGACAATGTTGCATTCTGCTTAAATAGAGAATAATTTAAACGCATCTTTATTTATCTATTTACTTTTTTTGACATTTTATACACAGAAAAAAATTTCTTGTAACATTACTGTACTTTATGGTAACATTTCTGGGTTGTTGTTTTTTTTTAAAAAATAGTAATAATTTTGGATAATAAAAACAAAATATACCGTATTTAAACCATTCATATGGTAATTTTCCCATTCACATGATGACTGTTTAACAGAAGTTCCAGGTCTTTTTTAAAATTATAGGTCTCATTACCTCATATTTAGTGACAAATAAAAAACTGAGAAATAAATTTAACCAAATAAATAGCGTTTATGCCATGCTCTAAAGTATTATGCTAATGTAACTGGATTTTATTACATTTACTAAATTTTATTACACACTATAAAATTATATTTCGTTGTTAATCATTAACAAAGCGTTTCGGTAAAAATTGCCGAGCCCCTTGGTGCTCCCATAGAGCAAGAAACACGGTTAATTTTACCATATTCTGGTAGTCTTGACCATACTTTTTTTCCCAATGTAGAATGATACACCTGATATTTATGCATTTTTTTTACAGAAATGTTATTTATAGTCATTTTTTCAGAAAACTAGCTAAGTACGGAATTCCTTTTTTATTTAAACTATTATGAGGCTTAAGGTATGATAGTTGTTGAAAATACAAATGTTGTTACTCGTGTTTTTAGTTCTCACTCTAATGTTATTTCTAACTGTTGTTGCTTTTTGTTTAATGCAAACACAATGTATGAAAAATTAAAATTTTTACAAATTTGTAATTTGGAAAGACGGATAACACGTAACATGAATAAGATAGTAATTATAGTAATTATTGTACACGGAATTGAGATAATCATTCTCAAAAGACATATTCATAATTTTGTTTCTGAATTTTCAATTTTAAGACTCAATTAGCACGCATTCTTTAGCACTCACAAACATCTTCTCTTCTTTGAAAAAAAAAAATTTATGAGAAATGTCCATGAAGCCTTGGTCACAACAAAGAATTTTATTGGATAGGAATTACTTTAGTGATTCAACTAACTGGAAATTAATTTGTTTTTATTTATATAAAATTATCTGCTAACTCAGATAATAAGTTCATACAAAGTTGATATATGAAGCAATTAAGCAGAATGAATATTTCATATCATGCAAGTCCCTCAATCAACTATCCTTAATATCATTTATAAAGGAGCATTGTGAGTATACAAAATTATTTTTAAAAAAATTTAGATTTTTTTTAAAGATTCAATTACTGTTTGGGATAATTCCATTAACAATTATATTAATATTAATAATTTTATTGTATTTAAATAAATTTATGAAATTTAAAATTATTTTTGTTAAATCTATCATAGATGTATAAAGTGAATACAGACTAGTAAATATACCATTATAAATATAAAATTTTTGATATATATAGATGTATATATCTATATGTGTGTATAATATAGATATTTATGTAGGGGAGAGTCGGGTAGCACCGCCCACTTAAGGAGTATTGCTTATATTTCTGTATAATAGTGAGTAATAACCAATATTTTTGTATGTTTATATACACATGAAATTGCCAGTGGGCGGGGGTACCCGCTGGGCGGGGTTACCCGACTCTCCCCTACGTTCTATAAAATATTTACGAGTGCATATATTGCTGGTACATATATTAAAAAAATAACTTTGTTTCAACTGAAGCATTTTAGCTTAAAAATGCATAGTTCCAACAATTTCAACCAAGTTTTAGTTTAGAAAAAAGAAACTTATTTTCATTTTTTCTAGTTCTAATTTATATCTATAGTTATTATAGGTGTTTATCATTATTTTACTTTTGTTACAATTTTACTGTTATAAATATTTTCTAATTTTCTCAAAACTGAAAAATACTAACTGTTTTATAATATTAATCAATCAATTAATCAATTAATCAAAGCCAGTGACGAGAAAAATCACAACATTTGCACACAGTATTATACAAGAAATCTTACAGCACCAGGGAATGACTGCATGGGAACACTGGAAACCAATATTTTTTTACTTGAGAAAAAAGTTTAAATAGATCAATAGGAAAAAAAATATGGGCAAGGCATAGGTTTTATATGTTTTTTATTTAACCATAATTTGTTTTTGTAACTTTAAATTAGTTCGAACAAAGATTTCGTGTGGCAAATCTCGGTAGACGAAAGCAAGCTGTTAAAAAAAATGCAAGTCACATAATTTGCAAATTTATACTTTTTCCTTCACGGCGAAAACATCTATGGTTAAAAGTACGAGAATATGGTAGAATTTACCATGTTTCTAGCTCTATGGAAAAACCAAAAACCTCGGTGATTTTTATCGAAACACTTTGGTAATAATTTTGGTATAATTAACAATAAAATATTGTTCTTTAATGCGTGACAAAATTTGGTAATTTTATCATGATGCGTGGTTAAATTTACTTTTCAGTTTTGAATTTATAAGAATTAATTAAGTTTTGAATATAAAAAGAATTACATTTCTATAATTTTAAAAACCAGAATTTCCAACAAACCATTATCATATGAGCAGAAAAATTACCAAACTAACAATTTTTTTTTACCAGAAATATCATTAACTTACAGTATGAAAATTTTACTAGATTTTTTTTCGCCGTGTAATAAAAATCAGCCTACTGACACGGAAAACCTGAAATACAGTAATAATGTAATTTTAATGATACAAAAAGAAAAGCAGAAGTCGAAAAAAACACAAAATTAAATTATTTTTAATTTTTTTTTAACTTTCCCAACCCTGTAACCTCTTTATTTTTTGTAAAAACATAATAGATGGATTCATAGTGTATAAATTAATATATACTATATATCTATATAGGGGAGAGTCGGGTAACCCCGCCCAGCGGGTATCCCCGCCCACTGGCAATTTCATGTGTATA